ATGTGTAGGAAGAAGATACAATGTACATTTACTGTTTATAGTACTAAAAATAAAATGATTCTGACTAGGAGTTCAATTTAACCTATTTTTTGGTTTCAACACCCTTGGGTTAGATCCCTCCAGTACCATGTTTTCCTAAGGCAAGAAGCAGATTACTGATCTTTTTATAGTGAGAGACGAGACACCACCTCCGGTTAAAGAAGCACCATTTAGTGGTACATACCTTGTTTTTTATATGTTTATAGATCATAGAATCATAGAATATTACAGCATAGAAGAAGGCCATTCAGCCCATCATCCCTGTGCCAACTCTTTAGAAAAGCTACCCATTCAGTCGCACTTTCCTGCTCTTTGCCTGTATATTTGCAATTTTTTTCTCTTCAAGTACCTATACAATTCCCTTTTGAAAGTTGTTATTGAATCTGTTTCCACCCTTTCAGCCAGTGCATTCCAGACCGTAACAACTCTCTGGAAAAAAATCTCCCCTCTCACATTACTTTGATTAGTTGAAAAAAGATTAAATCTATAAATACTGTTTAGACATTTTATACCCATCACTTATGCAGTTAAACAGAAAAGTCTGTTCAACTCTGGAAGCTACAAAGACAGTGGCTTAGAAATAATACAAGAACAATCCGTTGGTTTTGTTTCTGGGAGACACCTGGACCTCAGATTAAAGCTCACTAACGTCAGTAACATCTGGTATTGTTATACAACCGTTTGAGATGCCACATAATCAGTGCAGCACTTGCAATCAGCCCAGACGTTGTTGTAATTTGTTACCTTCATCGTGATGTTATTGTGAGCTTTAGAACACATTCTGGAACTCATTTAATGCCAGATTCCACGTTGGCTTTTCATGATATGGAAATTTTGTATGTTTATTGATGTTCTAAAAAGTAAATGAGTTCTGTCTGACGCTGTTTATATTAATGATCTGGATTCACAGACCCAGTACATGTAGTTAAATTTGCTTTGGACGCCGAGGGTGCAGCAAAGATCTTCTTGCAAAGAGAGCTTGAAAGGAAATGCACATTGGCTGATGACGACTGGCCAAATGAAGTTCAATAGAGCTAAATAAGAATAGGAGCCACAGGTATAGGATATTGGTTAGAACCTTCCAAGGAGGAAGCTGAAAGATATATAGGAGTGGTATTTGATTTGTTGCTTGCCATAGCTAAGCAGTGTGAGGTTGCAATAAACAAGACAAATGGAATGCTATATTATCAAATCAATGTAGAACATGGGGTCAGGCTTATTTAAGTAACACTTGATGTATAGCAAAAATTTACATTTATATAGTACCCATCACGTAAGATAATGTGTTTGGGCTCTTTACAATGACAGTGTTTGTAGGGGGAGGTAATCATAGGCACAGTCAAAAAGGTAGGTTTTAAGTAGGACTAAAACCAGAGAGGGAGAGGACAATATCGAAGGTTAGAGGGAGAGCATCCAGAATTTGAGGGTGTAGCAGCTGAAAGCTCAGCCACCAATGGTGGCAAGGGTATAGCGGATGATACACAACAACTTCAAGTTAGCTAAGGGGAGAGGAATGAGGAGAGTGGGGTAGGGAGATGCTTGGGTGTGAAGAGATTTATAAATGAGGGTGAGGACTGGAGCCAACAGAGCATGGCAAAGGTTAGGGTAGGGGACAAACAGGATTTGGTCCGGATGATGATGTGGGCATCGGAGTTTTGAATGAGTTAGAGTTAATAGATGGTGGAGCTAAGGAGACCATTAAGCAGTGCATTTGAAAAAGCCAGATGGGAGGTAACAAAGGCATGGATAAGGATTCAGCAGCATTTGATGTGAGATAGGGGAGATGGCTGGTGTAGAGTAGAAGAAAAGCTGTCAGGGACTGGATGTGAAAGAAAAAGGATAGCTGAGGATTACCAAGGTGATAGTAGGTCAGTAGGGTGGGTGTTCCAGAAGGATGAAACAAAATGATCTGAAGGGCTTTCTTCATCTCATTCTCCCTTGTGATCTTGTTATGTATGTGTTGTGCCAGCAATAGTGATGATGAATTCCCTCTTGTGCTAAGCATTGTAACTTTGGGAGAAGTATGCTTAGAATGGAAAAATTGCATTATAAGCACACATCTTCAAACTCACTTTAATTGGAAAAAGAGAAATTTATTGCCTCCGTTTTCATTTTCCTGATGGCAAAAGCACAGATAAATGACAATGTTGAGCAAATACACTCTGAAATTGCAATTGGGCACTTTCAGTCGGCCCGCGATTTGTAAAGTGGGAATTCTAACTGTCTTGACTATTTTGGTTGAGTGAGTGGAGTGTTGCAATTTGCATTGCTAAAAGACTGTGTGAACAGAAGGCGTACATACCAATTATTGGTAGAATTTGCCTATAATGATTTCTGCAGGTATTAGTCTGACCTTAGCATAGTGGACAAGGGCTCCCTCTTCCTCCTTGTCCTTCTGGACCTCTCCGCCGCTTTCGACACAGTTGATCACGCCATTCTCCTCCATCGCCTTTCCTCCGTCATCCACCTCAGTGGGACCGCGCTCGCCTGGTTCGACACTGACCTCACGGACCGCCAGCAGTACATCTGCACAAACGGCTTTTCCTCCCGCTCTCACCCGGTTACCTGCGGGGTACCCAAAGGATCCATCCTTGGCCCCCTCCTCTTTACGATCTACATGCTCCCTCTTGGCGATGTCATCCGCAGACATGTATGTATTTTTCCACCTCACTTTGTGACCCCCAGTCCCCTGATGTTCTGTCAGCCTGCCTGTCAGACAGCAGGAGCTGGATGACGCGAATTTCCTTCAGCTAAATGTTGACAAGATGGAAGCCATACTCTTTGGCTCTCGTCAACGTCTAAAATCAAACAGCTCTCACTTCCTTCACCTACCCGACCTCCCTCTAAAACTCTCCGAACCCGTACGCAACCTTGGCGTCAGGTTTGACCCCCAATTATCCTTCCTCCCCCACATCCAGTCCCTCACCAGCACCACTTTCTTCCACCTCTGACGCATTGCCTGTCTCTGCCAATACCTCACTCCAAAAGCCGTTGAAACCCTGGTCCATGCCTTTGTCACCTCTCGGCTGGACTATTCAAATGCCCCCCTCGCCAGTCTCCCCTCCACTACCATTCATAAAATCCAATTCATACAAAACTCTGCCGCCTGCATGCTTACCCGCTCCAAACTCTGCTCCCCGATCACCCCAGTCCTTGCCAGACTGCACTGGCTCCCTGTCCCAGAGAGGATTGACTTCAAGATCCTCACCCTTGTCTTCAAATCTCTCCACTCCTCTGCACTCCCCAACCTCTCTGACCTCTCTCCTCACAACAGTGCCCATTGCCTTCGCTCCACCGGATCTGGCCTCCTCCTTGTCCCCCAAATCCTCCGCTCCACCATCGGAGGCCGTGCCTTCAACCACTATGCCCCGAGGCTCTAGAACTCCCTTCCTCACTCCCTTCGCCTCGCCTCCTCTCTTCCCACTTTCAGGTCTCGGCTGAAGACCTTTCTTTTCGACTGCGCCTTTCGTCACCTTCCTCCCCCTCCCCCTGGCTCGGCCCCAGGATCCGTTACTGTGAAGCCCTCTGAGACGCCGTCCGGCATGGAGGGCGCTATATAAATCCAAGTTGTTGTTGTTGTTGTCTGGTGAATGTTAAGCATATGCTCTTATAAGTTTGGTATTTGTTCAACTTGGATCACTCTGCACATCAAGGGTTTGGTTTGCATCGTGAAGACCTAGTCTGATTGAAGTGCTAGTTGTTGATCAGCTATTAATTATGGCTTGAATTAGTGTGGGTCTGCTTGACTTCACCTCCTTGAAGGATTTCCTTTTAAATAAAGACCCAACGCTCATTATACCGACTTCAAAAGGGTAAAGAGAGCTCAGTGGTCCCACCAGCATTTGAACCAGACACGAAGGAATTTCCTTAGGTAGGTGGCAAACATAGACTAGAACTCTCAGTCTGGTCTGGGTTCTCTTAAGTAATGATTTCACCTCATGTTGTAACTTTGGGAGAAGTATGCTTAGAATGGAAAAAAATTGCATTATAAACACACATCTTCAAACTCACTTTAATTGGAAAAAGAGAAATTTATTGCTTCCGTTTTTATTTTCCCGATGGCAAAAGCACAGATAAATGACAATGTGGAGCAAATACACCCGGTTGACGAGGAAAGAGGATTTGAACCCAGTACCTGCCAACCCCAAGTCCAATACTGAACAGCGTGTACAATTTCCACAGCATAAGGTCAAGCCACGACTTAATCATACATGCTTATTTTCGACTCAAGTTTATTCCAATATTTTTTAATTGTTTGACTGCTGTTCACATATTAATGATCGAGAACAGCTGCGATTCTCTTGTTTTCAAAAACAAGAGTGGCCTTTCCCTGCTGTGTGACAGTTATATAGCCCTAACTCCACAGTATTCTCTGGTTTTCTCACACTGAGAACAAGAGAAAAATCAGAGATACAGACTGCAAGAAGTCGTAGATCACTGGCTAACATAAGAAAGCTTGAGATCATGATCGTGAGGGGGGAGAGCAGGGTATTGTGATCTGAGGCATTGGACCATCTCTGGTGCCAGTGAGCCAACTTGTTTCAGGAGCAGTACAAGTGATCTGGAGCTCTCTGGGACGTATTGAGGAAAATTCTAAGCCATAAATATCAGAAATAATTGCTGACAACAGTGCCATCACATGACTAACCATAACACTCCTGCTCACATTGCAGGAAATATCATAAAGTTATCAATGCTATTTGGAACTGAACCACGACTTGGTTTGAACTCCATCTCCACCCATATCATTTAAATTCACAGGATTTAGCTTGGTAATAAGTAAGGGACAAAATAAAATGGGGATAAACTCTTTTTAATCTAAATGATTGATTAAATCATTTTAGTGCTCCGAGACGCTGTCTTTCATGAAGGGCGTGCTCTATATAATGCAAGTTGCTGTTGCTGATTGTATCTGAGTTGCATCCAACTGACCTAATATTTAACTTTTGTTTTAATACCAGGTGGCACCAGTAATAAAGGAGAGGATGATGAAGAAGGGCAGTATGATGGTGGGTTATCAGCCTCACCGAGACAAGGTCAACTTCTTCCGACAAATCATCATCAGTCCTCTGGTCAGGCGTGAAGATATGGACTTCGTCCTCAATGAAATTGATGCTCTGGGGAAGGACTTGTAATTAGGGTTAAGACAAAGCTCATGTTCTGTTTACAGTGGCAGTATGTTTACTAGAAAGAGCTTGAGAATGTTCAGGGTTCAGCACTAACTTGTACTGTATACTCATTTTAGCATGAACAAAATTAACACTGATGAAGCAGACTTCACTTTTCAGAACACATATACTTGTTTATTTTACAGAACAACTGATGAGGCGTGTGGATTCTTGATGAAATATTGATTAGCTATATTTTTATGTCGTTCCTGTTAATATATATAAAACTCTCTCTCTATATATATATATGTAGTATATATATATAACCATATATACCTATCTGTAAAATAGTGGCATTCAGTTTTGATATCATACGCGTAAGTTTAAATAAAGAGAAACTTTAGGCCATGTTCCTTCATTTACATATTACCCCACTCTCTGGCTGTATGGCTCCAGTCTCAAAATATCCCTTTAACAGAGAGTTGCAAGAGTCACTGTAGCACCAGTTAGAGTTGATTCCACCATTGATCATGGATCTTGATTCCATGGTTCGATATCAAGAGCAAAATAATTAAATATCTTTTTAAATCCGAGTTGTGCACCATACAGTGGCTAAACTCCCAATTTTAAACAATGGGTAACTTTCATTTGGTGTTTATACTGAATCAGGGAGTCAATGATTTGTCTAAATCCCATGACCCAATGAAGGATAAATGTATTGCGAGACAATACATCCCACTGAAGGAATTTTTAAGCTGGCAGATGCTAGAGAGAGGGGTTGACAGGCAGTTCACATGACCTACAATGGGAGATTTGAACTACCTTTGTGTTTATAACTGTCATTATTATAGTGTTGCATATCAGAAAATTGCAAATAAATTGTTTAAAATAAAATGTGCACTGATAATGAAGAGAATAGGCAGTGGAGAACTTTGGGATGTATAACTTATTTCCCTCTAGAGTAAGTTCCTAGAGTTAAGTTCAAAGTTTCTAGTTGAGAATCTACTATTTACTTAGGATTTATTTTTTAAAGCTTTGTTTTCTACAGTTATTGAAGTCGTGATACGATAATTCAAGGGAGATGTGTTCTACTGCTTAGATCTAAATGTGAAAAAAAGATGTCTGGTGTCACTTGGTCGTTCTCTTGTTCTTTTTTGTGTGCTTTTAAACTAGTGGTTATTAGCAGCTGGAGAACAAATATTTTGTAAAGCGCTCCCCATTCACTGATGTCATGGGCTTCCACTGGGGAGGGTCGTTGTTGAAATAATTATGTTCCCAGGCTGCTTCTAATGAGATTATGCCTGTTTGAGTGCCAGTAGGTATAGTCTGTCTCTGTGGGCATATTTTCAGCTCTCACACTGACAGTAAAAGCAAATAATAAATCTTCAAAAACATAAGGAACAGCTTTGATACTGCATTATCGTATTATTAATCCTATCCACTAAAAATAATCTAAAGTAACATTTTAAACTATCCTCACAGTTATCCCCTGTTTGTTACATTTTCTCTTTTCGCTTTATTGTACGTAATTTTTATTGGCTCAAAACTGGCCAATTTCTAGCCACGTAGCTTTAGATTGCCTGCAAAACTGGTCAATTTTTCCTCTCTTAGAGATAGTTTCATTAATCTTTATCCAGGGGCAAATGTCAGCCTGCAGATAAAAATACATGTTAATGATGCTTCAAGAAAACAACAGGAAACTTGACTGCATCAATAAGTGTATAGTTGCTGCATATATAACATTTAATGTTATGTGAGTATATAATAGAACAAATTTAATGATATAAAATAATACTCCAGTGATACTGAAGTAAACTTCCGTAAAAGCAATCACAAACCATTATTATCAATATCGCTGCACAAGAACTGCTTAAAAAAAACTAGCAGTCACACCCTGATGTGGCTGGAAAATCAGCTTGACTTATATTGATACTGAGCATTTCAGTAAAGTAGATTATTATTACTTGCTTGCCGTCAAGAACAATTATAACCTTGTCAACTGCTTTTTTAAATATGTTCCTTGTGTGAAGGACTCAGCGGGTTAACTAGTTTCAGAACTGTGCAACACTATCTGTACCTAGGGTTTTAATATAGTAGTTTATGTGATGTACATAATAATTGCTGCAGCATTTGTAGAGACAGGGAGGTATTTGTTACTTAACCACCCAAAAACTAGTGCAGTTTAGCTTTAGCTAATTCTTGTAGCTATTCCTTTGGTTTGCTGGATATTTTACTGAAGAACTTAGTTTCTGCATTCACAGTTGAGGAAGTGTTACGAAATCTCTCTTAAAGAGGCACTGTTGCCAATAATTTTCACCTTGCTTGTCTGCGATCTGTTTGTGAAAAAAAAACTAATTCAACATTAACACATTTGTTACAGAATCTCATGCTGTCCTCGATTCCAAATAATGGAATATTCTGAAAGGTTTAAAAAAGCAACATTTTCACCCAGATTTTTTTTCAAAAGAAGCATTTTTGCATAATTTGCTGCAACATAATCTTTCAGATAACTCTGCTTGTTGTTAGTAAATGTTGTTGTCCGTTCTAAGGTGCCATTGTCATTTGACTCCTTTCCTACCAAATTGACAGTGCCCCCTAAAAAATGGCTGGAACATAGGTTTTACCAGTGTTCAATAGCGTGTTTTAGATCAGTTTAGTGCTAGGCTACTGACATGACATACTTTTTTTTTAAAAAGTACTATTTGAATTTATAAAACCTTTTCAGAGGTGTGCGTTGTAAACGATCCTGTGGATTGAAGTCAGGAAATTCATGGGTCAGGAGAGCAAAGAGCAAATGTTCCTAAAGCCAGAAAAGATTTCTAGAAGAAGGTTTTGTGCATTCTCAATGATAGTAAACCTGACCTAGAAAAGCCAAACCTCCCATGGATAAATTGTCTGAATTTTGAGAGTTCACAATTTGAATTATTTTTTGAAGATACTCTACATAAAACAGCACTTTTTATAAGTTGTCTCAACTGTTACAATATTCTGCAAGGATGTTTTTTTTATATATATGAAAGGTTTCTACTCAGGCCTTCTATATTATTCAGTGACTGACAATGTTCCAGTCAGGCCTGAATGTATATGTTTTGAGGAAAATTAAGGAGTAGAGAGGAAAGAAGAGGTAAAAATGTTAATTGGCAGAAAGGGATCTTTTTAAAAAACAGTTTAGAATCTAAAGCTTTCAGTAATGTTTTTATTAGCAATGTGATAATTCAAGCAGCACATTTCATGTGCACATACACTTTGTAATGCCATCAGCAATAATACTAACTCTGTTGGTAGGCTGATGAATGTCAGCCTCACTAACGGTGAATTCTGTGCATTGTTATGAGCTTGCTTGCAGTGTACACGTGTTTGCAAAGCATATCAAATTGTCCCTCTTCCCAATCCTCTCCCACCCAACACACAAAAAACAAAACAAAATCCCATTGCCGCATTGAAAGAGAGTTGTTTCTTTTTGTGTGAAATCTTTATGGGGCCTTTAGTGAGTTGTCAGCACAAATGCTCTAATGTTTACAAGTGAATCCTTGTACATTGCACATTTGGTTAATTGTGACTGATCTGTTACAACCATCTTTGGTTCTATTTACATCAAGTTGTGTTTTGACAGATCATTTCTTATTGACAGCAATATTGAGTTTTTAGTGTGCGATTTTGTTATACCTGAAATTTCCAAGGCAGTGGTGCAATATGATTTAATCGGAAAACTATTGAAACATATTAAGTATTCTCTTGGAATATATTGATAGTAAAACATGTGCCTGAAAAAACATTCCTGGATGGAATTTTTTGATGTTATTTATTTTTAACATTTCTGTTAGTATTTATCAGTAAACTAATAGATTTGTGTTTGTAGAAATCTTTGTGATTCTAGAAGACTAGAGACATGCACACAATGGTCGAACAAAGTTGGTAGATATTAGAAAAATCTCGATTTAGTGGCAAATGTCAGAATTTATCAGTGGCTTTAAGTGGGAAACAGTTTTACTGATAAATGTTAGTTTGTGTGAAGCACTGAAAATTGAGAAGTCTGAAAGAATGCTCAAGTCAAAATATTTTTGGAGATCAGGTAACTGACTAGGAGGAAAATGAGTCACAAGTGCTCCAGGCAATTGGTAAAGAATTGATAATTGGTAACACATTTACTGACCTTCAGTTTAGAAACATATAAATATGTTAATGAACAATCTGCGAGTCTTTGAATTTTACAAACAAAACATGGAGCATTTAAATTATTTTCTTTTAAACATTTAAAAAATGTGCTATGTCATGTTGTTTTTACACTTAATATTGTGTACTAAAAGTATTTATGTTTGCTGGTAAAGCTGCTTATGAGGTGATCACTATCTTTGTTTAGTGTCGCTATTTCTCTCTCAGGCACACTGTCCATCATGAAATGCTGGACTTGTGACATGGCAAGAGTGAGGCCTTACAATAACCTTCCTTTATGTAATGACAGAAGTGGAGTTTTCCCACATTATCTTACACAGTGCAGTGATGTGAATGTTTTGGACCATTTAATCTGAAGTAGAATTAAGAATTTTTAAAAAACTACACTTAGTTGCTATTAACTTACTTGAGTTAGACTTGGATGTGATGACTGCTATCTTTTGGTGTTGAAATAAGATGTTATTAATGCTGTTAAATAAAATATAATAAACTAGTTTACTGTCACTGGTGTTTTTTTTTAAACTTTCATTTTAAAAAAATGCATCAATATATTTTGTGTACAGTTGTGTGGTTCTTGGGTCCCACTGGCGCAGTGAAGCTTCACAGTCGGTCATTGTTTGGCTGCAAAAATGCACAGGTTTCCACTGTGGTGAAATGGATAAACATGGATAAAATAATTTGAATAATGTGAGTGTAAACCAACAAGCCACCCTCCACATTGTGGTGTCCTGTAGCATAGTGGTTCGAGAGGATCCGGGTTCGATTGCTGACGGGGTGAAACCTTAGACAAGTTTCCTTACTACACACGCTTCTGTTTACCTAGCAGTAAGTAGGAACCTGGTTGTTAGTCGATTGGCGAATCGCTTTCCAGGGGTAATAACCCTTCAAAATCTAACATTTGGTCACTCCTTCGATGACCGTTTGTGGAATACTGCAGTGCACAATTGGCTGCCCTGTTTTGTCCCAAAATACAGTCAATCCATTTTATAATGTATTCTGTGAAGTGCTTTGTGACTTCGCAATGGTATGATAAGGCACTATATCAAATTCAAGGATTATCATTATTAGTAAAAGACAAGCACCGAATAAGTGCAATAGGTGAATGCTGAGACGTGTATCAGAATTTGTGCAAAAGGCCTGATGACACATTTTACTTTATAATGTTTCAGTTTCCACTATTTGATCACCATTTATTGTATTTTCTGGCAAAGAAACTTAACAAAATCTATTAAGAAAATCAGTCTCTGAAGAAGAAGTTTCTGTCAATGAATGAAAAATGAAAGAAATCCAGACTAGAAGTGTGAAGTCTTAACTGCAAAGAAGCCAACTTTGAGAGGAAGCATAAGTAGAAGGAAGCACAGGATTTCAGCACACCTCTGATACATGCTGATAAGGAAAAGAATCTGTGCTTGCTGTATCAACAGATAACAACATTTCCAATTCATACAGTAAACATTTTTTTTTGAACTAAGGCATTTGGCAGCTTTACTCAAAGGAGAGTAGGCAATTGTTTCCTTTACAACTTAAAAGTTATCATTCTCCTGCTAAGGTCACTGTACATTCTGATTTTAACTTTGCTTTTTAACTTGGGACGTCTTCCCGACGTGAAAGACGCTGTACAAATGTAATCGTGTTGTTGTTGTTGTTAGCTTTGCAACACAGTTCTCAATTTTAACTCTTCAGTGCTGGGCAGTGTGGACTGCTAATGTGAGGTCCAGATGTGGAATGATGACTGGACTGTACCTGGTAGGGAGGGCACGGCTGAGTCTTGTCAGCCTGATCCGCTGAGTTCACGCACCTATACTGGAGTGAGCGGAAGGTCTCTGGCGTAGAGCCAGGTAATCAAAGGAATTCTGTGGCCTACACATGACCAATTCGGTATTTTCCTGATTAATGGTACAAGACCAAAGCCCCTGGTTATCGTGTACTTTCTGCCTCTCAATCCCTCCCCCCTTGCCCGTCTTCAGATTGATTATGCTTATGGTCACCTTCCTTTGGGTTTTGTCAAAGTTGAGTTTGGCAAGGCAAAGCCATCTCAAATTCATGGAAACGAAACCAAGTAAATGTTGTCCCTCACACCATGGGCAACAGCGCTGAAAGGCAAGCAAGTGAGCAATGCTGCCTCCGCAGAGGCTTCAGCAACCTTTCTTTCTACCCGTTAACCATCCTCGTGAGTAGAGAAATATTTGTGCCAACCTAGTTTAATGTAGAGTGCAATGGCAGGAGCTGGCACTGGGTGGCAAGGTATTTATGATATTTTTCAGGGGTGGGTGGAGAAGGCAGAATAAAATGTGTACGATAAGAAGGTTTGTAATGTCTTTATTAAATATATACAATATGTTCTTTACATTGCAAAGATATTAACATATATGTATATATACACACACAAACATATAAGACTGGATAAGGCTCTACAGAGAGAAACAAATTGTTAATGACGTAATATAGGTTTCCATTTCCCTATTTCTCTCTACATCAGTTTACATTCATTTTTATTTTATGGACTAAAGTCCTAATTCATATTGTTTCTGTAACAATTTGTTACATAATAGTCTCCATTTGTTATTACATCCAAAATTGTTGCTTTTTGAAAAGAATCATAAAAAAGTGGTTTCATTCTGAAGGGAATTCCTATATGAGAAATAGATCTTTTAAAATTCCTTGTAATGGCCTAAGATTAATACAGCAAAGCTGTTCTGAAAGGAGATTCACGCTGATATGTGCATGAATGTTGCAGCAATGGCTTAGGCACGTCACCGTCAGACCAACAAATGTCACTGTCAGACCGGCAAAGGTACTGGCTCAGTGGGACAGCCAGTTTGTGGACACCAAAGATCCACTCACACTCATTTATCATTGAGGTGTTTCGATTACTAAAGGTAAATGCACAATTTTACAGAAGTTGGTTCATTACTACATCAGGTAATATACGGAGGATGTGCCCCTAATGGTTCACAAGTTACCAATGGCTTTTGTCCTGAGATTGCTCCAAAAAAATCCCTTTGATATCATCTCTATATAAAGCTCTGTAGAAAGAAATTTCTCACATATAAATCCTTTGCAAAACACCTTACAACTTTTTACATAAATGTCAGTCACCTGTATTAAAAATAGGCACTTGATATAAACTCAAAGTTGAGCACTCCAGCATTTACAAAGATATAAAAGAGATTATATATATTTTAGCAGTGATTTCATACAAATACATTCAAGCAGCTTAATATCCTGAAGCTTGGATTAATTCAACTCTGAGGCCCAAAGTCAGTGTGTACAATGGTGCCAGTTGAAGTGAGTCAGTTATACGTGTGTGTTCAGATTAATCTTTGAAGTTTTAAAAAAAAATCACATTCTGCAGTGAAACTCATAAAACCCTTCTGTTTAAATTCCAAAGACCATCAGCATGATATAAGGGCCTGCAAACCCTCTGGAAGACGGAATAGACAAAACTGTCTTAATCAAACTCTGAATGGAATCAACACGCGAGACGTTGAGACGTTTGTGAGGTTCGGGAACCACACGAAGGGCACTGATAATGTCATTCCTATTTTTGGTTGGCTATTAGAGAGGTAGACAGAATCTTTAAGATCCTTTCACTCTTCCACGGTGGACAGAGCTAAAGATAAAGATGGGCTGACTGCAGCTTTCCAGCTCCAAAATCAGTGACACAAGGTCTTTAGAGGCAAAGCGCAGTTACTCTTTAAAACCTGGTGAATTGGTCGGTGCCTTTGCTCCTTTAAATGTAGTGATCTGAACTGAGATGCTAACCCAATGTGTCTTGGCCCCACTGTGTGATTGGTTACAATGTTCCAGTCACTTGTAATCTCTGAGAGCATCATTCAAGAAATGAATGGGAGGGAGGGGGATGGGAGATGAGATGGGGGCAACTTGGACAAAGTCTCTGGGTGGCTGTCCTGTAGAGCAGAATGGTTCCAGGGTCAGATGTTACTGAAGGCAGGATTATTTCTGAAATTGTGAGTTTGGTTCCCAGAGACTAGAACCTATGTATTTGGTTACAGGCCATGTTTACCTTTGGTTCGGTCACCTTATCTATTAACTTTAGCATTCCAAGTGATGCACTGGGCAGAGTTCAGTAGAGTTACCAGAGTGTGTTTACGTACTGAAGAACAGTTTCCAATATTTTAAGGCAGGTGAAGAAACTCCAATGACAGGACCTGTATATTTGGCTGGGGCTGTACAAATGGAGAATCGTTACAAAAAATACACCCTGTTTTACTCACAGTCTGGATTAACCTTAGGTTCAGTCTGTGGTTTCTCAGTTAGATCTCTCAGACGACAGACAAAGCATTGTAGCCCTGTCAAATCTTCACTCAGAAACACCACCAAGATACACTTACTGTTTGCAACACAGATGTTGGCTGCCTCCCCCCCACCCCCCCCCCCCCCACCCCAAAACACCACTGCTTTTAAATCAGCAAAACCACCAGCAGAATAAATGCACTTTTGCAATTCATTGCTAATTACAGTGTAACCCCATCATTGGAAACTTCAACAATGAGGGTAACTCACTACAGGCCACTTTTTCAGTGTTTTTGTTTTCATTTGATGGTGACCAAATCCTAAACTCAACTTGTGAAACTCAACTCAATTTACGAAAGCACCTCACCAATAAGAGCAAAATAGGCCAGTTATGGTGAATTCCCCCAATGATTTCCTCTCTCCCCTTAAATTGCCTTGGCTGAAAAAGATGGCATTTATTCAGTATCTAGCGGGACACTGTTATAGTTGTTTGAGCAAGATGCAGGTAGTCCAAGACACATTTCAGAGAGTCAAAGTGTCAGATATAATATCTCCAACCTGTGGTCTGTCTGCTGGCTGCTTCACATCCTTAAGGACAGTTCCTATTATGGTCTTCCCTCATCATTCAAAGCACCCCTTAACTGGTATATAGATTTGGCAAGATTTCAAACTGATAACAGAACCCAATTTCTTGACGAAGCAAAATAATTTTGTTTTACTGCAAAAAACTATTTTGACATTAGTGCCTTCAGAGCAATCACATCTGTGTAGGGCCCAGCTCATCACAACAAGAGGCCCGAAAGCCCCCCATGGTCTTAGCCTTACAACCATTAAGATCATGCAGAATTTTGGAAATTTCTTCCAATTCAGGCCTAATGAGGAAAGCGACTTTCCTATAAGTCTCAATGAGAACTGTGTAAAACTGGCTTCCAAATGATCATGAAATTAAACAAATTCTAAAATTCTGCACAATCACCTTAATTTCTAAGGCTATGGGCTTAAGACTAAGGCCATGAGTAATTTAGGGGTCTCTGCTTTAATTCTATCCAGAGGCCCTCCTGCACCCCAACTATTCCCACTATCTGTGAATGTGCTTGTCTTCAGTTTTTCAAAGTACATTGCACCAATCTCTCTGTTCCTACTTCACACAGACTAGATGTGGCAAGCACTAAATGGATGGGCTAGTTCCTATTTTGTAACAAATGCATGAACAACAAGATTACATTTGTATAGCGCCTTTCACATCGGGAGGACGTCCCAATAAATGAATAAACAGATGTAAAAATATCTTGGTGACATTTTCAAATGGCCAGTCATCATTGCATACAAGCGCCTTTACATAGTTATAAACAGGCCTACTTGATATCTCCGAGTATATATCTATATATACCAATAAAGTGCATTGGACAATGGTTATGTGATGGAATCTTTGGTTTCCTGAGCAACTGCTGGTCAGAATGGCCAATCCTATGATAAAGTCAGACGACTTGCTTTTTCCTTTTTAGTTCCCACAATATCATTGTCTCCCTGAAGAAGGACACGTGTCAATCAGGAAGTGATGCAGGACTTTCATTCACAGAGGAAGTGAAGCAGGCGTTCTGTCAGTCTGTCCCCTCTTGTCTTTTACATGACTGCTTCTTCTGGTTTTTTTTTTGCCCCTGTTCCCGATCCTCTACACCACAGTGACCGCCCTTAGGTCTTGCTTGGTCTCACTGACAGAACAATCCTCTGGGATTTTTTCCTCGGAGCAGCTCCGACCAGAGAGTTTGTCCATCTGTTCTAGATCATTGAAGCGCTCCACTACGCACTGCGCTGTCAGTCGGGCCTCCGGATCATGGTCCCAGCATTCGATAATGATTTCACACACCAATTGTACAAGCTGTAAAACAGAGAGGAAAATCCTGTGAATTTGTTTATGTGAACGAAGGTTAAAAACTCAATGAAAGAACACGCGGATACAACTGGTAACACAAATAGAAAATCCATGGAACAATTGTTTTAAAAATGGTTACAATCAAATCTGCTTGCAATGGCATATTTTAGTTTCCTATGGAATGGAGCCTCCTTTTGCAAGTATTTCCTGTCTTTATTACAGATACTTCCTGTCGACCAGGACCTCCTGTGCAGAATTGCTTGACGTGGTGATTGAGTTTGGCACTGGGGGAACTAGGAGATGCTGGTAGAGCTAGTAAGTGATCTCAGAGTGTTTGGTCCCAGCATTCAGTCTTAAAGTGGCGTCCTGTAGCATACTGGTTAGAGCACTTGACTCGTAAGTGAGAGGACTCGGGTTCGATTCCTGGGCAGAGCAAAACGTTAGGCAAGTTTCCTTGTTCCACACGCCCTGTTTACCTAGCAGTAAGTAGGAACCTATTTGTTAGTCGATTGTCGGATCACTTTCTGGGGTAATAATCCTTTTTAAAAAAAATACTAATTTGGTCACTCAATCCACTACTGTTTGTGGCACACTGTTGTGTGTAATTGGCTGCCATGTTTCGCCCCCAAAGTATACAGTCAATTCACGTTACAGTATATTTCGTGAAGAGCTTTGAGATGCCAAATACAAGGATTATCATTATTATTATAAGGTTAAATCTAAATAAAGATGACTGAATGCTTTGTGGAACATGTTGTCTTATTTCTTATTATTTCTTACGGCACCTCAGAATGCGGTCGGTCAAGGATGAATAATGGATGGATGATCTGAAGTTTGTCTTAGTTCACCCTGGTGGGGGTGGAGGGGGGGAATGAGAGATGCTTGCAGATATTTTCCTCACACAATGGTGGAGTCTATCTGGTAAGTGACTATTAATATCAGAATCACAAATAGCGTCGTTTCACTGCAACTGGAAGTGGGTCACTTTTGACCTGTGGCAATTCCACTCTGGCGTGTTTTGAATCTGGTTACCAGAGTTCCCGTGGATCAGTGTGACACACTGGTTTACTGTCTGGGCTCCCTATTAGCAATTTGTGTTATGAAATATTAAACCCTGATGTGAACAGGGCAGAGTCAGAGTCTGTGAAAACAAAACCAAGCTGAATGAACTTGACTCGTCTCACCTCTTCTCATTCAATTAACCATTGAATTGTGCCGTTAGCGTAGAAGCAAATCTTGCTATTGCACACCACGATTGAGGGAGCCTCAATATTATCAGAAATGACATCTTAAGTGCAATTGTTAAATTACCTGGTGATTATTCCAGCTATTGGGGATCTCAGGTCTTCCCCGGTCTCTCAGTACAACATCCTTCATGCTTTCCACACAGGGGTGTTCCCGCACCTTGGAACCAAAGGCAGGCTCGTAGTCTTTGACTTCTGTGGATAGAAATGGAACAGGATTAGTGATGGGCAAAATGTCCTTTAAAGGGGGTAAAGGTATCAGTGTAAATAGATAAAAAGCCCTCTAAACGACACAGTGTTCAAAGGTATAGAGCTCCCTGTCCTAGCTGTTAAATTATCTTTTGCTTCCTACTCCTGTTAATCATAATATAACAAAAGTTCCTGCTGCAATGCATTTAATTCACTTGGGTTTAATTCTGAGTGTAACACACATGTGAACTCTTATTGCTCATACACTTGTCTTGTAAGTAGAGCTAGGCTAATGCCATTGGGGGTGAGGGGGTGGAAGGGGGCTATCAGTCACAAACTGAGCATAGGTTTGTGACAACAAAAGGAATTAAAAAATACACCAAAGGCCCAAATTCCTGATTTGGACGATAGTTTTCCAGGGCAAGCTGGCTTCAAAAATTAAGTTAATTTAAAAATTTTCCAAAGTTCTATCCAATTTAATATTTTATGAAAAAGAAAGGTCTATTTAAGGCTAAGATCAGGATGGATTTTGCGGTCTTACGATTCCAGGCTTCTTCCCACTGGTGACAGCAAGTTCCAGATGTTGTTACACTCATCAAGCCATCAGGGATAAAATGTATAAATCAAGGATCTTTCACAACCGAGTACACTGGGATCTATTGCCATCAGTAAGCTATCCTCTAGATGTCCTCATTTTAATATGTTTCTCAATAACTGGTTAGATTACACTGCCTTAACTGGCAGTGTAATAGGATAATAGGAGCAGATGCACTGTATTTCCAAATCTGATATTAACATACGATGCTCCCTGTATCTCATTATTCCTTGTAGATTTGTTATTGTTTCTGTAAGTGCGCCCAAAACGATAGGCTGTAAACTCCAGGTTATTGACTGACCACCCACCCTCTTCCCCCGCCAATTTGAACCTAATTTGACCAGACTGCAATCTTATGTTTTCCCACGCCAATCTCTCCTCTTCCCAAAGTCACTGCTGCTGTCCCTGGTGAATACATGGGAGCACTTGCTGATCTGTTTGTAGACATCATTTGCCGGTCTTACTCAGCCAAGCCATATGGGTTGATGTGGGAAATGGAAATGTCAGCCAGTGTTCCTCCAAGCCAGACAGAGACCAGTGCTGTACAACAAGCTGCGCTAAGGATTGCCTAATCCAGTCTGTCACAATCCGTTTAAACATAAAAGTTGCAACAAAAATCCATCAGCAATGCCTTTGCATTTCTATCTCTCCATGAATCTGCCACAGTCATTAGCATGGCAGAAACTCAGCAGAGACTTCTCAGGAGTTTATTAACTCCAGCGATCTAGTTTGTCACAATACAGTAAAAACGCTTTGAGACATCTCAAAACGTGATAAGGCGCTATATCAAATGCAAGGATTATTATTATTACAGTAACAGCTCCTTCAAACAATCTGAAGAGATGCAATAATTTCAGTAGAACAGTGGCATGCAACTTACGATCCATATGTCACATCCGATGGATGCTAATCTCATTCCAACTTCCATGAGGTTGGATTGTGGTCAGAGGAGACCACTGATGATTTTCAGGAAACCATCTAAGCAGAGCTCCTACATGAGAAATATCGACAGTTTGTAGCATTCTCACATTGGAGCCATAGAATCATAGAATCGTAGGATTATACAGCACAGAAGGAGGCCATTCAGCCCATCGTGCCTGTGCCGGCTCTTTGAAAAGAGCTATCCAATTCAATCCCACTCCCCTACGCCTCCCCATAGCCCTGCAAACTTGTCCTCCCCAAATAATTATCTAGAAGGAAGGAAGGAGTAGAAGGAAAGTTTATCCATTTAAGGCCCACGATGCGGCTTTGAGATCATAGTGTAGGCTGACCCTCCATTGCAGTGCTCGGGGTGCCTTCAGCCACTACACCCCGAAACTCTGGAATTTTCTCCCTCCGCCTTGACCCCTCCCTCCCCACTTTCACGTCCCGCCTAAAGACTTTTCTTTTCGATTGTGCTTACGGTCACCTTCCCCCTCCCTCTCCCCGTGGCTCGGGGTCAGATTCCGCCACTGTCAAGCGCTCCGGGACGCTACCCCACGTGAAGGGCGCTATATAAATGCAAGTTGTTGTTGTTGAAAGCACCCGGTCCACACTCCTGATGGTGCAGAAATGCACGGTCGACAATCCACAATATGCTACGGTTATCTGGCCTTACTTGGTTTGAAGAAACTATAGTAATTCATTATGCGCATCAAATTAAATTGAAGCATTAAACCCAAACCAGCAAATGAGGGAGGAATGTTGGCTATTACTAACTTCTGTAGGAAAGCAGAAATGAAAGCAGAGCCTAGATATACACACCCACTCCATTTACTACATTCTACCTAACGTCAACATTCAGTCAACCATGTTGTTTTTATGCCAGCCCTTCACTTTCTCAACTATTTTCTTTCCCAGGGTCAGACCAAAAGTTACCAGCCCCAGTAATTAGTATCTTCCCAAGCCGTGGCTGGGTGTACACCTGTTTCGAGCTGTGACTTGGTGCCATACATCAAGCTGCTTAGATGAGGAACAAGCAGATCTAATTACAAAGCTTTGCATCTGGTGCACATCTGTTTTCCAGGGAACAGATAGTAACTCCACAAGGCGTACTCTTTGTAGTTATTTAAATTGTACCACAAAAATGTTTTTAGCCAGCTGTCTGCAGGGAGTAGCTTCATTAGTGCCCTGGTATGAATTAAGGACTAAACTGGAAGGATAGCGTCAGCCGCAGAACTGGAGCAGCCAAGGTTTGATTCCTCCCCCCACCACATTTAGAAATAAAGGCAAGGCTCACACTAAATATTGTGCAGGAAACCACCAGAGTTATAACAATAATAATAATCCTTGCATTTGATATAGAGCCTTATCATATGTTTGAGACGTCACAAAATTCTTCACAGAATATACTGTAAAGTGGAGTGACTGTGTATTTTGGGGGTTAAAACGCGGCAGTCTAGTTGAAAAGAACAGTTAAGAAGCCCAGACACAGAGGGAAGCAGCATTCGGTGACACTACCCTTGCAGAGTGTAGGAGGAAGGGAAGATGCAGTGGGGGAGGAGACTTATGGGTTTTGGAGGAACTGAGAAAGCACTTTTTTAATAACATGCAATGCTTTCGCTCCATGCATGACTTATAACACGTTGCTCCATCCATTCTATGGCACGTTACCACCAATATCTTGAGTTCTGGTCTTCCTTGCTGCGCGCGCTGCAAACTTTACGAGATAATCAGAGATTGTCAGGTGTGGTAAACCTGTCCTCAATTGAGAGCGGTACCAGCATCACAGGCACAGAGCAGAGATCGTTCTTAAGGGCTGCTTCTGGAGCTAATTTGGAATGTCAATACAGAGAGCTAGGAAACCTTATACATCTTAAAACAAATGGGAATGACTTGAAACCATTGCCTGAAAACTGAAGATCATATGGAATTTTGGAAAACAGTCTGAAACTCAATCTTGATTTGAATACAGAATTTCCTCGGTTCCTTTCTGATATGGTCCTAAGAACATGAGAAATTTTGGGCGCTTCCATCTACATGGAATTGATTATTGTAAAAAAATTCCAAAATCACTGCGTAAAAAGCTGAGAAATGAAAAGGTTAAGAAACCTGCGAGGAAAAAGGTAACTTCACATTCCACATTTTCGGGTTTTAAAACAATGCGGTCAGTTATTCAGTAACATGCAGCTTCTTGTCCCCTTGCCAACTTCATCCTACGCTTTGTACAGGACAAAGGAATTTAGAAAACAATTCAATTGCCTGCAGTTTAAGAGGATAAAACATTTGGCAAGCTCGGAAGTAGAAAAAAACCCAGAGGCAGCAGCTAGAAATCTCAGCGCCATTGTTCTCACATCCATATGTTGCCTTTTAAGTGAAATTGCTAAACTTGCCCCATGTGAGCAAAATGGACAGTGTGTTCAGCTGACGCAGGGGAAAGGCAGCAAGAGAGGAAGTTGTTTATTGGCACGAGTGCCAGAACTAAAGGAAGTGTCCTTTTTGGTGTGTTTTCATGTTTTTAAATACCCACTTTTGCGAGTGCAAATCCAGACTCAACTCGGGGAGCAATAACCTTAGATCTGTATTTACAGAGCTTGTGGCTTCTCAAAATACTTTTTGTGCAGTTAGCAATACTTTGTATTTCCTTAAGTGCAGTACGGTCCAAAAAAAACAGAAGCAACATTAGAAAACAAGTCCCAGCACAGACCCGTTAACCAGTAAGAGGAAATGCTTGTTCAAAGGCAGCAGCTTGCCAACACCCTCAGCATAAATTCATAGACAAAAAGTCATTTATTTTACTGATAACCCATGTTTTTTTTACTGACACGTAAAATATTTAGAAACAATCAAACCGCTGAACTCCGAAAAAAAACCAAAACATCATTTTTTGTGGTTCTTGAATCTCCTTGTTTTTTTTCTTGAAATCATTTTTTTCAACAAATCTTTCCCAGCCAATCGTTTTCCTTTTTGCTCCCCTCCCTCAATCCCCTCCTTCTCCAGAGCTTTGTAACATTCAAGACCAGATAAAGAACAACCCAGAGTCCAGTACCATGCCGAGAGCTTCTGTTTACTCAGAGCTGGTCACTGAAGGGCTTCACAACACAACTCTCTCTTGTGCTCGCTTTTTCTATGACTTAATTTAAAAGACGATGCCAACATGTGACAAATCCAGCCCTGGCTGTGTTACCAAGTAATTTGCACAAAACAGCCCAAGTGAGAGTGTAACACCTAAGCCAAACAGGCCTTCCCACTTTTGAACTATTAGTTAACACCGGTTGATACTATAATTAGAGGAATAACCTAAATGGAAAGGGTAGATAATCTAGATCTCTTCAATCCTGATAAGATTTCTCAGAGAGGACCTTCATAAAATGTGCTAAATTGGAGAGAGAAAGTAAAACCAGAATTATACTTTCACCTCCATTTGGCATTTACTTTGAATAATCTAGTTAAGATCCTGAAATCTATGTAGTGAATGGTACTTGGAAAAAAATGGCCTATTGCATTATAGAGCAATGGATTACTGCCATAGGTGGTGGGAGGGCTCAGAACCCCTCCAAAGCTATCTAACATTCACCTCTTTAAGGGGAAATGGGAGGGGAAAGCCCTGAGGACGACCAGAGCCAGTCCTCCGAGCAGCCCCAGTGAAGGACCCTTCTTGCCCCTCTCCCAATTTCCTGTTGGTGCCCGCCCACTTCGAGCCTGGCAGGTTGCTCGTTCTCACCTCTGATTAGCCGATGGACCTGTCGGTCAAGCCAACAGCTCACCTGTTCAAAGGGTGACCCTTTAACTGAGTTTTACTCAACCCCCCCACCCCACATCCCAATAATATTTTCACTCGCTGCCTATGATTAGTGCACCAATATTTTGCATCACTTGGGACCATTTCTAATTAATAAATAGCAAAAGTTTGTTGCAGGAACCCTTTAGCAGAATAACTGATAAAAATAAAAGGATATTAACAAAACTGAACAGCATTGTGTTCTAATCGTCCTTCGACCAAACCAACGAACACATTTCACAATTCCCCTAGCATCCAGTAGAAGGTGAGTGAAAGGTGGCCAGGGGTCAATGTGTACAGCCAGAGTAGAGTGGGACAAGGGAAAATGGGGCGAAGTTGAATATTAAAAATGATTTTAAAAAAAGGGTTCATTGGTGGGGGTGGTAGAGACGAGAAAATGGACTCATTTAAGCTTAAGCTATTGCCAACCTTGAATACAATTCAACAGATATTGGACAATAATGCCATTCAATGAACTGGCCTAAGGAGGTTGTGCTATCAGCCCACAAATAGAGGTTTATGCGTGAGCATGTGGTCAATATCCCGGCAGTATTGTCTTTTTATTGTCAGCTATCACCATTGTAAACACGTAACAACTCCATTAAGAAACATAGCATGTGTAGCATATCCATCGGTGTGGCTAAGTGCTGTCCAGCCCTGGTTTAGTAAGTTTTGTGAATCTATCCCCTTGTGCTTATAAATCTCTCATGCAATTTTAAAGCTTTAAATGATGTGACATGAAAGATGCAACATTAAATCATGCTGTAGTTTTAAAATTGCTTTAAGAGTTATTCACAAAACTTACTGAATGGAGAATAGCTTTTAATCTCACTCACGCTATCACTCTTAAAATTCAACTTTGCCCCATTTTGCGTGTTCTATTCAATTTGTTCAAGTACTGTTCCCTATATAAAGAGTTTATGACTTCAAATATATGCCAATTGGAGTCTTTCCCATTTCTCTCCACATGGGGTGAGGGGGGTGGGTGGGGCAGAAATGGGACCTCAACTGTTGTTTCAAACTCAGGATATTGTCCCAAGTGTTTGGGCTGTCGTTGTCATCTCCAAAGCTCTCCCTTGGTGGGATGTTGCTCAAATAGTTTACACTAGAGCAACCATTTCTCTGAACACACGTTCATACATTCAGCACACGGAATCCATCTGATCGGCTTGCAGAGGGGCAAGCAGCTGCTGCTTAAACTCCGTATCTCCAATTAGTGGAACCATTGCTCAACACAAAGCTGTGGATGGGAAGACGGTGGCAATGCTTCCACGCATTTCATGCTGAGATCCATTGCCCACTAGGAAGCTCGCAGGGAGTTCCTGATGCCTACCATCCACGTTTGTCGGATGTCGAACAACCAACTAGTGACTATCCTCCTTTTGGTGAGGGAGGTTAGCGGGATCTCCACGGAACTGAACTGTGTATTTTGTGGGCGAAACGAGGCAGCCAGTTTGCACACAGCAATGTTCCACAAACAGCCACGAACAAGAGTGAGTGACCAATTTTATTTGGGGGATTTGTTGGCCAGGACACCAGAAGAAACTCGCTTCTCTTTTCGAATAGCGCCATGGGATTTCTAATGTCCACCTGAACAGGCAGACGGAACCTCAGTTTATCATCTCATGGACGGCACCTCCGACAATGCAGCCCACCCCAGGACTGCACTGGAAGGTCGGACAGCTTAGACTATGAGATCCCAAGTCCCAATATGAGGCTTGAGGCCACAACCTTCTGACTCAGAGGCAAGAGTGCTACCAATGCACCAGCCTAACAAAGCTGGTACCCTGGTCACCTGCGGGGTACCCCAAAGATCCATTCTTTGCCCCTTCCTCTTTCTGATTTACATGCTCCCTTTTGGGGATGTCATCCGCAGACATGGGGTACATTTCCACATGTATGCAGATGACACCCAACTCTATTTTTTCACCTCTCTTTGCGACCCCCAGTCCCCTGATGTTGTGTCAGCCTGTCTGATCTCAAGGGGTGGATGAGCGCAAACTTCCTTCAGCTGAACGTTGATAAGACGGAAGCCATACGCTTTGGCTCTCGTCAACATCTAAAATCTCATGTCTGTCACCTCCTCCACCTAACCGATCTCCCCCTAAAACTCTCCGAACCCGTACACAACCTAGGCGTCAGGTTCGACCCCCAATTATCCTTCTTCCCCCACATCCGGTCCCTCACCAGCACCACTTTCTTCCACTTCCGACGGATCGCCCGTCTCCGCCAATACCTCTCCCCAAAAGCCGCTGAAACCCCGGTCCATGCTTTTGTCACCTCTCGGCTGGACTACTCTAACGCCCTCCTCACTGGTCTCCCATCCACCACTATCCATAAAAGCCAAATCATTCAAAACTCTGCCGCCCGCATTCTCACCCGCACAAAACTCCGCTCCCCGATCACCCCAGTCCTTGTCAGTCTGCACTGGCTCCCTATCCCAGAGAGGATCGATTTCAAGATCCTAACCCTTGTATTCAAGTCCCTGCACTCCTCTGCACTCCCCTACCTCTCTGACCTCCTCTCTCCTCAAAACAGTGCCGTTGCCTCCATTCCTCCGGGTCTGGCCTCCTCCTCGTCCCCCGAGTCCTCCGCTCCACCCTCGGCGGCCGTGCCTTCAGTCACTGTGCCCCGAGGCTCTGGAACTGCCTTCCTCACTCCCTTCGTCTCACTCCCTCCCTTCCCATTTTCAGGTCTTTGCTGAAGACCTTTCTTTTTGACCGCGCCTTTGGTCACCTTCCTCCCCCTCCCCTGGCTCAGCCCCGGGATCTGTTACTGTAAAGTGCTGGAGGGCGTTATATAAATCCAAGTTGTTGTTGTTGTTGGTAATGATTTATGGATTTGGACTGCTCATTCCCTTTCCTGTGATTACTATTCAATTCTGTTGCACTAAACCTATAATGTGTTTTTGAACTACTGGTTTATCAGTGCTCCGAGACTTTATTCTGTGTGAAGGGTGCTACGTAAATGCAAGTTCTTGTTATTACATTTCTCTCCCTCTGAATATATTAGTGAAACGGTCAATTGGATTAAGTAAAAAGATAATCTGAATTTTATTGTGAAGCAGACGGTTATAGGGGTTACTGTACACTGTGAATTGTGAAATGACACTTACCCCCTATAGCTGTACAGCGTGATGTGATCTCCCACAGGACTAATGCCATCGAGTAGACATCAGACTGTTTGAATGCCTCAATGTCCTCCAAGTTCATTCTGGATTCTAGCACTTCAGGTGCCATGTATCTGGCTGTCCCAACCTGCAAAGGACAAAGAACAGAGCAGCTTAATTCCACAACATGCCATGTGCTGAAAGATCTTGCCTTTTTATAGCACCTTATCATATTCCTCCCACTTCATTATGTCATCATGTCTCAAAGAGCTTGACCAGACTACTGGGAGAAACTCCCATCGCTTTTCTCACTAGTGTCTTATGGGATCTTTAATATCCTCCAGAAAACAGGCAGATGGGACCTTGGTTTAAAATCTTACATTTGTTGTTGTTAAAGTCTCACCCAAAGAACGGCACCTCCACCAATCCAGTGCTTCCCCCAGCCCTCCATTGGCATGTCAAACTAGACTATGAGTTCAAACCCTGACATGGAAACATCCAGGGGAACCTCCAACTCAGAACACTGAAATCGGTACCTAAAGTTTCAGACCTCTTCAGTTGCACTTAAACGCTGTCTCCGGATTCCAATAGCTTATTAGCACCAGAAATGGTCCCAATGCCATCACAATGCTGGTTAACATCTAGTGTCTTTTCCTATGGTTTCCCCTCCTCCACTGTACAATCACTTGTGGTATTTCTCAGGGCTCTATCCGTGTCCTCTTTTCAGCTATATATTCTCCTTCCAGACATCATCCATAGGCATGTGGTACACTTCTACATGTTCATAGATACTATCCACCTCGGCCACTATCTCTGTACCACCAAGACATCATCTACCCCCTTCATCGAATCCAGGCTCAACTATTCAAATACCCTGCTCGCCAGATCCCCTGGCCCCTTCCTACACAAGCTGCAGATCATCTAGAACTTTGCTGCCTGTATCCTCTCCCACACCAGGCTCCATGAACCTATCAACCCCATCCTTGCTCGGCTCCACTGGCTTCCATCCCACATTTGCGGAGGTAAAATGCACAACATGCACTTGGGGAATTTTCACTCCACACTTGATAGGATGGCTGGCTTTTGGGCCATGGTGACGTCAGGCGCACCAGGACATGTGTAACCATTAGTTTTGCAGTCGGCTCTACTGAAATAAAGGTGGTTGAGGGTGGATTGCGCAACTAAACACAAGGTGACTTTGCTCCTGGTTTGTTTTCTTGGTTCCTCTACTGTTATTTCATTAATAGGAATTAGGGAACGCATTCAACTTGACTCTCCTGCTGCCTCTTCACGAACATTAGGAATATAACATCTGTTCATAAGTCAGTTAGTGGAGACGCTGCTAAGTACAGGGAAACCTTGTTATAGTGCAGCCGGTTGGACCAATTTCTCAGTGTTATTAGCGAGGTGCTTAAAAATGTCCGACATGAGGTCACCATTGACGTCACTTCCTTTGTGAAGTGATGCCTGCAACTCCTTCTGCGCTTGGTGCACACCTGCAGGATATTGACACTATTTGTGATCTAACCACCTGCAAATCAGACATTTTGTAGTGCGGGAATCTACCTCATCAGTGCCAGAAGCCGGGTGTACCGTGCTTCTAGCTATTGTGAGTGCATAGTTGACCCACACTATACGCAAGGCAATGCTATGTTGAAAGGGCGCTATAATGGGGTTCCCTTGTATACATTGCCCTCTTTTCTACTAACTGCCCAGATACTGCCTCTCCAGCAAGACCTTATTTGGGTGTTGTGTGTTACTAAAAGTGTAAAGCAGCAAACCTGCTGAAGAGCCTCAAGATGAGCAGAATTTCCTCAGAATACTGGACATCCCCAGTTCAGTCAAAACACGATGGCAAATTACTGACAAGTTGCAATGCTTGATAAGCTCGTGCTTTTTAAAAAAAAACAGAATCCCAGTTCCATATTAGCGTCAAGTGGTCACCACTTCATGCAAATGTCTTAAAAAGGTTAATCAAAGCTCTAAATATTTCTCAAATGTTTACACGCTGGAGGAATTAAAGGATTGGACTCGTGGATGCCTGATAAAGCTGACCCAGAATTGACCCATGGCTACACTAATGATGAGATTATTCTATCCAAATTAATGTAATAGGGACAAAATTGTTTGAAAGAATGTTTCTGTGGTATCCCTTCCCCTCCCCTCCCACAGACATACACACAGACTCAAACAGACTCACGTGCATGCACGGACTCACACTCACGCTCACACAGGGTCAGACTTACACACACACACGCACAAATAGAGAGAGACACACACACAGACACACACACACACACACACACACACACACACAGACATGCACTCATATACACACACAAAAACAAACACACAACACACATAAGAACATAAGAAATGCTAGATGAAAAAGGACCAAGGTCCATCTAGCTTGCCTTCCACCTTCCTGGCGGTCGCATGCACATATGTCCCTACTGCCTATGTACTATATCCCATAATGTTACTTCCTAAAAGAAAACTATCTAATCTGTGTTTGAAAAAATCAATACTTCCTGCTTCAACCGTCTCCCTAGCGAGCCTGTTCCACAGGTTCACTATTCCCTCACTTAAATAGTTTGCATAGGTTCATTCTGAATTTATCCCCCTTCAATCGCAGGCTGTGTCCTCTGGTTTTACTATTCTGAACAAGTTGAAACAGTCTGTCATGACCTATATTGTCTTGCCCCTTTAGAATCTTAAAGACAGCAATCATGTCGCCTCTCAATCTTCTCTTTTTCAGCGTGAACATGACCAATTTACTTGGTTGCTCCTCATAGTCCAGGCCTTCCATTCCCTCAATAATCGTGGTTGTCCTCCTCTGTATCTTCTCGATTTTTCCGATATCTTTTTTGTACTGTGGCGACTAGAACTAAGTAAGATCTCACCAGTGATTTATACAGTGGCAGGATTAGCCCACTATTTCGGCTTGTTATTGATCTTTTGATACATCCCAACATCTGGTTTGCTTTACTCACTGCCACAGAGCATTGTTGGGAGAGCTTCAATTTACTGTCAATCAGGAACCCCAGATCCTTTTCATTTTCCATACATACTATTTTCCTTCCCTTCAAATAATAGTCCCTTCCAGGATTTTTTGTCCTGGACGGGACTACTATTTGAACGGAAGGAAAATAATTCCATTTGTGTATACACCGATGTATACAAGTGCGCGTAAACTAAACCAGATAAAAGTAAACTTAAAGGGGCAGCATCTTTAACAGGTCAGCAATGATTTTTGGGGGCGTTTTCCAAATATTAAGATCCTATGAAGCACATCACATCTAGAAATGTCACAAAATCATTGTTATTGTGGCCATGCACGCAGACTCAAGCACAAACTCACAAGCATGCACGCACTTACACCCATGCTCACACAGTGTCGGTCTCACACACACATTACTAAGTGTGGCACACCCTGAGTTTTAATGGGAAATTGTTTTGTGATCTGATTCTATACAGTACAAAACCCATTATGGGCACAGCCCTTGTGCTGCACAAAATGCCGACCTTATCTAAAATATCTTGACCTAAATTTGTCTTGATTATAATTAGTTGAATCTAGCTTTATCCTGGGATTGGCTGGCAGTGTGCTCAATCCCAATTTGGGAAATGCAGAAAAAGCAAATTAAGTCAAATTGGTTTAAACTCCCATTCATAAAATGAGTATGGAGCTCAATCCTGGGACTTTCCAAAGCAATACTGGAACATTCAGTAAATGAGTTTGCACCCAAATAACTGTTCTCTTCAACACAACGTCCTGATTAACAAATCTATACAGTCCTCTGCTACTTACATTAAAACAAATGAGCAGCTGTGCTGTTGATCCTTTAACATATATTTTAGGATAAATGCAATCTTAACATCGAGTCTTAGAAATTACAGCACAGGAAGAGGTCAGTTGAACATAAACTGGTGCTTACTTGCAATGGAGGTAACTAATTTAATCCCCATGCTCTGCTCTTTTTGCAAACCATTTTATATTATTTTTCTGTAAAAGATGATGATGATGACACAGGGTACCGGAACAGTTTTAGAACCCCTATTCTCAGCCTTTTGGGGCTCAGTATTACTTCCAAGGTACTAACAGAGAAATGTGTACAGTGCATTAATGACCAGCCTGTGCTCGTTGCCACTAAAACAATTATATCATGCAAGTATTTCTTAATAGAAATCCCGAAAACAACAATGTTTTTCTTTGTGGTATTACTCCTATATTTGATTATTAATTCCCTTCGTTCTGAAGACGGCTGTGATGTACGAGGGAGAAAGAAGCCATTGTATTATCATGGTGCTTCATGCTACCAGCCTACACGGCCAATAAAAGAATCACTGTCCCCTTAAAGTCAACCGTGACTGCACGCTTATTTTTTAATCATATCACTGAATTCATCTGGTAATACCTTCAGCACTTTGAACTCATGAGGCTTGGGGTTAAATTTATACAGTGAAAGTATTATTGCACTGACCCTATCGACCAGCTTTCTTTTACTGTATTAGTAAGAGTCAACATTTTATCTCTCCACTCATTTCCACAGTCATTCTCTTTTTTAGCACTTACCCTTACCACCCATCATTATGGGGGAATTGCTCAATACTAGTCTTTGCGCAGTACCGACCTCAGTCCCATAAAAATCCTCTTGCATTGGTGAAGTACTGAACAAAATATTGGACAGTCATTTTCATTGATTCTCTATGCACTGATGCCATTTTAAGCCACACGTTTGTCCATCTCAAACAGATGCATGGAGTTATATTGTTCAGAGAATTACTCAACTAAAAGCTATTTCTGCTGGCAAGATTCATGCTGTTTGGAAAATACCGCTGTGTGCAGGGAGGGGACTATTGTGTAACCAGGGCTGTCAGTAGAATTTTGGTAATGTCCAAAGGAGAGAGAGTGAAAGCTTACAAAAACAACAAGAAGCTGCATTTATATAGCGCCCCTCACACAGGGTAGTGTCCCAGAGAGCTTGACACTGGCGGAGCACAACACCGAGCCAGGGGGATGGGAAGGTGACTGTGGGCACGGTTGAAGAGGAAGGTCTTCAGGCGTGACCTGAAGATGGGGAAGGAAGGGGCAAGTCAGAGGGATAAAGGAAGAGTGTTCCAAGAATGGTGGAATAGAGGGCACGAGGGACATGCAGGAGGCCGGAGTCAGTCGAGCGGAGGCAGCGGGTAATGAGTTGGGGGTTAAGCAGGTCGGAAAGGCAGGGAGGTGCCAGGGCATGAAGGGATTTGAAAGCGAGTGTGAGGATCTTGAAATCGATCCGTTCAGTGATAAGGAGCCAGTGTAGCCTGGATAGAACTGGTGTGATGGGGTTCGGAGTTTAGTACATGTGATTATGCGGGCGGCGGAGTTTTGGATCAGCTGGATCTTGTGAATGGTGGAGTTGGGAAGACCGGCAAAGATGGCATTTGAAAAGTCCAGTTGGGAGGTGACCAACACACGTTCAAGTGAGTTGGCTGAGTCTGGGGTAAGGTATGGTCGGAGGCGGGCAATGTGGCGGAGGTGGAGGAAGGTGGTCCTGCTCAGGGCCCGGATGTGGGGAAAGAATAATAATTGTAGATCGAACCCGATGCTTAGGTTGCGCTGTGGTTCGGTGAGTCTGAGGGATGGACCAAGGAGATTGAGGAGGTCAGAGTCGCAGGACAGAAGATGTGGATGGGAGCCCAGGAGTATGTCTTCTGTCTTGTTAACATTTATTTTTAGGAAGTTTGCGTTCATCAGGGCCCTGATGTCTGTCAGACAAGCTGACAGAACATTGGTGGACCTGGAATCGCAGCTGGAGGAGGAGAAGTAGTTTTGTGTGTCATCCACATACATGTGGAAGTTTGTCCCGTGACTGCAGATGTCATCGCCAAGAGGGAACATGTAGATGAAGAAAAGGAAGGGCCAAGGATGGAGCCCTGGGGTACACTATAGGTGACGGGACGGGGGCGGGAGGAGAAACCATTTGAAGAGACAAAGTGCAGGTAACTGTTAGATAGGACTTGAACCGGGCTAGTGAAGTCTCACTAAAGTGGACGAGGGAGCGGTGGATGGTGTGGTCGACTGTGTCGAACTCAGCGGAGAGGTCCAGGAAGATGAGGAGGCAGAGGGAGCCCTAGTCACAGAGGGAACGGGCGTCAATTGTGACCTTGACAAGCGCCATCTCTGCTATGGGCAGGGCAAAAACCAGATTGGAGAGGTTCGAGGAGCGAGTGGAGGGAGAAGTGTGAGCAAAGCTGGTTAGCGACATTGCCTTCCAGAGCTTTGGCAAGGAAGGGCGAGTTGGAAATGGATGGTAATCTGCTTACTGCTTGAATGGTGTAAATGTTGACTCCTACCAATACAATTACATTGCAGCTGTTTTCTTTCCAAAGTTGGCCGTGTCTGTAGCGAGCACATTGAGTTGTAATGCGTGAGAGTGAAACAATGGGGAATCGCAACTGTTTTGCTGGTGGTGAGGAGTGATCTGGGAGATAAATTGAGCACAGTGGACGAGATTACAGGCACAACATGAAAGCCTGTTGTCTTAAGTGTGATGTTTGTTTCCAACAGTGCGATGGTACCAATATTCTAAGCGGACCCTGTGAGAGAGCTTTGCTTTATGTACACATGTAATGCAGCTGAGCCAAGCAATGAGGCCAATGCTCCACTAAACATTTTGGTGATTAATCTGTCGATGCGGTTGTGCGGTTCACTTGTCCTGTTAAATACATTGCAAATTATTTTTCAAATTGAGACAAGATTGGCTAAAACCTCCTTTTTCTCATTCCTCTCCACTCCGCTCATTGTGCAGAGGGACGTTCCTGTACATGGGTATGCGGAAGAGCGCATGATTATTTATGCAGAGTTTTGAAACACTGCCTTAGTTAATGAGCTCTCTGGAAGAACACTTCCTGCCTATTTACGTTTTGGGTGGACAGTTTTTAAACTTTTGGGTTTCTTGACAAGCTCCACGAGAACAGGACCAGCATGGGTCACGGTGTGCAGGCTCTTAAGTCTGTTAAATGGAATTAGTTTGCTGGCTGTGTGCCCTCTTTGCTGTTCCTTATTAGTGTAACTCAAAACAAGAGCGGCACAATCAAGAGCGGTTGCCAATAATGTGCGCCTGGATTGCTACGATTTAACAGCAAAGCCATTACTAACATTGCTGATTGCTGGTTCAAGAGTTTATATTCTATGCAAGTTTGACATAACTCACTTTGCATAAGTCATATTAAATGTATGGTCCTAACTGATACGACCTCAGTGAGGTTTACTGTACTGATCATTTTCAGTGCGAGATTTTGTTAATAATAATGGGACCTGATCTGTGGTACAGTATTGATTTCCCTTAAGAAGGAATCCAAGCTGCGCAAATAAGGACTTCTTCTGGGAACCAGAAGTACATCACATCCACCCTTGGAAACTCCGCTCCAACGAGATGTGATTCCAGAGCGGTGTATGCCTGTGCATCAAATGGAATTCTAAGAGGATTTGTCATGATGGTCTATGTCTTAAAGGCCTTCGTCTCAAAATGTAAGATTAAGGAGAAGTTTGGAAAATTCGGCCAATTTAGCCTTCATTTGGAAGCTACTGTTCTGAAAAGAGCTGATTTGAGTTCAGGGTGTCATACCGTGAGGGGGGAGGTGGGGGGGCAGGGGGAGGGGGGGCACTGAAAAGCCAAGCTTAGACACGTGGACGCCTTGATTTTAGGAGAAGCAAGAGAGGAAAATTCGAAGCAGCGACAGAAGCAAGGAAGAGTTAACATGGGATTATCATGCACAGTCCCCAACCCCAATCTCTCGGCCAGGTGGCTTACCTGTCCGCTGTTTGCTAAATCATCCATCGAGAGTGACGAATCCAGCCGCAAAGATAATCCAAAGTCACACAAACAACAGGTCATGTCGTTTTTCACAAGAATGTTGGAGCTTTTCAGGTCCCTGTGAGCAATCGGGATTTTGGGCCTCCCGCACATGGTGTATTCGCTGTGGAGGTGGGCGATGCCCCTGGCCAGCGAGGCGCCCAGCAGGCACAGGTCCTCCCAGCTGATGATGTGACGCATCAAGTAATCCTGCAGGTTGCCTTGGGTGTGGTAGGCTGTGATCAGCCAGTACTGTTTGCCCATCTCCGTGTCGCGTTCCTCCGCCGTCAGGAACTGCAGCACATTCTCATGCTTCAGATTGACGTCGGAGAACACGTCCTTCTCGTTCTTCCACGAGGCGTACTCATCGAAGTGGAAAATCTTCACCGCCACCGTTTCGAACTGCTCTGAGGCGTTCTGCTTCAGCTTGGCCTTGTACACCTCAGAGAAGCGGCCCTTGCCCACCACCACATCCAGCTCGATGGGCAGCAGCTCAGTGTTGTGATTGATGTTGTTGGCACAGGTGGAGCTTATGTCTGACTGATCATCTTTGAGGTTAATGGTGCAGCCATCGCTGCGGTGAATGTGGCGGCCGGACTTGTGTTTGCGCTCCTTCGCCCACTCCTTGTTCAGCTTCTTCCTTCTCTGCACCCGGTACCAGTAAAAGACCACGATGACCGCAATAGCGAGAATGAGCAGGGTCATGAGGATCATTATAACCTTCATCCACTGGTGCTCATCTCCTGAAGTGCGAAAAAAAAGGCACCGTTAGAGCTCCAGCACTGGATTTTCCCCGTCTGACGTATTAAAAATACACAAAAACAAGTGGGAAATGCAAATGTTTTTCCCATCCCCCACAGCTGCTTCCATCCAGACTCCCCCCCCCCCCCAACCCCCCCAGTTCTCACTCCCCAGCTCACGCCCCGGGATTCTGGATTTGGACAGTTTTTGGAACCCGCAGACCCTCTTCATCCCCTCCCCTGAAGCCCCGCCACTCCCCCATGCAGCCCCACCCCCCCACTCTCGCAAGCTAAATCATCCGTGTCAGAAACCAGAAATGATGCCAGGAACCGGAAGTGGGACAGGCAGCCATCTTTGTGAACCCGTTATGACGAGGTGGTCTAATTTTATGCCCCCCACCCCCCACCTCGCAATGCAAAGGGGTCAGACTGCAACAGTGGAACAATACAGTTTTGCAAAAAATGATCACAGTTTTCTGCCCTATGTTTCAGCGGACGCTGATGCTTTGTCAGCCACAGATAAAAGCTGATGAGAAAAAGTTTGAAATTCCACCTGACTCTAAGAGCACGAGTGACTGCTCAACCAATGGAGATAACGGGTAGGCGTGTGTGAGCATGTCGTCTACACATTGTAAACAAGATGTCTGGTTGAATAGAGATAGTCATCTTGGAGGAGGGTGGAATGGGTAATCTCCAAATCACCCAATTCTCCCCCACCCCCACCGTGCCCTTCCCAGCAAGACGTTTTCCTCGATTCAATTTCCATCAGGGGCTAAATGCACCTTGTCAAACATTCCTCTGCGGAGCGCTGTGGAATTCATGCAGAGCGCAGCTCCGCTCAGCTTCCAAGAGGCACATGAAAGAGTCAGTAATTGTTCCTGTCAGACATTCGGAAAGTCTAACAATTTTTACTGTTATTTAATTTGGAATTTGGGCCAAATATTGTCTAGCCTGCCTCATCTGTACAGGGTCCAAGAGAGAGAGAAAGAGAGAGATCTTAAGAATGAAACAACTTAAGACATTGGAAATCAATCAGTCCACAATAAATGACTGCAGGTTTTATCTGCTTGTAAACATGGCTTCAGGAGTAGCATGCTTTGATGTGCTAGTAAATTTAAATACAGACAGGAAACCGCATGTCTGAGATCAGACATATGACCTGCTTCCAGCCACAAATACAACACTAGCAGGAGAAGAGCTGGTTTTAGTTAAGGCCAAGAAAAGAGAGGAGCAGCCCTATTCGATTAGTGAATCATCAGCAACATCGACCACGTTTATCTGCACTGCGATGGCTGTAAAGTGTAACCACTGATCTCAACCGTACAGCAGTTATGTGTAAGTCAGATAGGAATCTTCCATTTATATTTCCAGCCAACACTGACACCCACAGAGAATTTCAGACATCAAAGAACATTCGCAGAGTTTACTCTCCTTCCTTCCCCACCCCCCAATCTGTGGCTGCTGTTGTCTGACATAAGCCAGTCTGCCTGTGCCGTGGTCACTGTTTGCTATAGTTGTGAGCTTTCAGGAGTTGCACGTCTCCCCTGGAAGCTGTGTGAAGTCTGAAATCTGAACCCTGTTTGGGATACGACTCTTTAAACAAGTCACCGCAAAGCAAAACAAAAACGGTGCTTTAAAAAGGGGCAGGCCAGCGTGAGGGAGGGAACATGGGGGAAAAATGAGGCATGTGATGCGATAATGAACACCGCGATAATTATCACATCACAACACACTGCATTTCTCACCCTATAATATACAGTCAATTCACTTTACAGTGTGTTCTGTGAAGCGCTTTGGGACGTCCTCCCGACGTGAAAAGCGCTATATCAAATGCAAGGATTATTATTATTATAATCTGTCATCAAGCCATCCATGTCTTTCAGAGATCGCTGAAAGTACAGCAGCAATCTTTTCTGATTTATAATAAGGCCTTTGTATTAAAATAGGGGCTCTCATCAACTATTTGCCCCCATTCTCTTGGTCTGATAGTTTCAGCTCACTGTGTGCTGGTTCTCTATCTGACCTGGAGCATTGTGATCATTTCTGGTGTTACATACTGTACAACTATAGAAATGTAAAGGCCTAGAAAAAAACATTTTTTCACGTTCAGTGTTTGCTTTTCCAAGAAGTCAAACATCCTAAGCCCAATTCCGTGCACTTTCCATGTACCTTCTAATAACCTTCCTCTCTAACACTCTTTCACATGTCCCTCTTAGCACTGCTCTAAGTGCCACTCTTGGTAAATCATTTCAATCCATTCCTAGGTTTGAAGCCAGTTCTCGCTCAAGTTCTTTCAAGAACTGCAGAAACTGGCTCCAAATAAATAATAATAAATAATAATAAATAATAATTTATAAATAAATTTATAAATAATAAATATAAATAATAAGCATTGATGTAGCGCCGAGCCATCAGAAAGCGCTACACAGAATATATACTAAATTTAATTGACTGTATATTTTGTGGGCGAAATGTGGTAGCCAACTGCGCACAGCAGTGTCCCACAAACAGTTGTGGATTGAATGAACAAATGTTTTGGGTGGGGCATTTTTTTGGAATAGATTTTTTTAAGAAAGCGATCCACCAATTGACTAACAACCAGGTTCTTACTTACTGCTGGGTAAATTGAGGCGTGTGGAATAAGGAAACTTGCCTGAGGTTTCACCCTGCCTGGGAATCTCTAACCATTACACTACAGGCCTCCACAAAGCTAAGACTGAGTTAACAATTTCCAAATTCTGAAATGCCGCACAGATAAAGTAAATATAGACCCAGGTGGAATTTCTCTCAGAGTGTGAGCTGGTGTGTGTTTTTTTCTGTTGGATTGAATCCCATTTAAAGGAGGGAAAGCAAGCCTGCAACAGGAAATGCTGCATTAGTAGATGAGGAGTCAGTCAGCGTGCAGAGGGAGTGCTATGAGCAAACAGATACAGAAGAAAACGTGGGAGGCTGTTTTTAGCACACTGCTTTCGCTTTGTTTTAGTTTACCCTTGACAGCGATGAATAGTAATTCATCCCCAGTTAGCTGGTGAGTGGAATTTTCCAGCTTGACCACATCCAAGCAAATCTACAACACAGAAGAGGCTTGATGCCTTGTCTGGATCAATCAGAATGGGACATTCTCAAGTGGTTCTGCAAATGCTCCAGGAGTGTGCAACCCAGAACAACAACAACTTATAATAATAATAATCCTTGCATTTGAAATAGCGCTTTATCTCGTCATTGAGACGTCTCAAAAATTTCACAGAATTTACTGTAAAGTGAATTGACTATGTATTTTGTGGGCGAAAAATGCCACAAAAATGGCTCTTCTGACTCTACATTTACGGGGGTGAAGATACGACAAGATGGGAACTGCCAAAGTTCAGTTGATAATTATTGATTGGTTTCAAGTTTCAACACTTCTGTGACTTTGGCACAATGGCTGGAACCAAAGATCTCCATTCCTACCAACAACAAAACAACTTGCCCTTCACACGGGATAACGTCTCAAAGCGATTCACAGTGGCAAAATCAGACACCGAGCAAAGGAGATGAGGGGAGGTGACAATTTCCTCCCCCCCCCATCTTACACACCAGCACACACACTGTTATCACCACAATAAACAAGCTTTACCTTTGGGCTCAGTTGAGAAATCCAGAATGTCATTGCATTCATCCTCAGAGCACGAGCACATGTAGAACTCGTCTTCCTTCTTCTTCATCAAACATTTAGTATTGTTGTAGTCATCCAGCAAGTGGCCATGCAGGCGTCGTGACGGATGATGGCACAGCGTTTCCACAATCGTATTGTTATCTTGCTTTCTCCTAATAGTTTTTAAAAAAAGAGAGCATTTATGATTAGAGTTGGGCTGAAAAACCTAACAAGGAGTTTTGTAACATTACTGGAGCTTGATATAGAGACGAAGCACATTGTAACTGCTCAAAGTGCTCCGCACAGAGGGTTACCATGAAGTGTACTTTACTGGCTGTTGTTAGGAACAGTCGTTACACTTCAAAGTAAAGATTGAATTAAGCCAGTGTTCCCTGAACTAAAATGCTGGGGACCTGCAGGGCTCCAAGACGGCAGCAAAAGATTTTGGGAGAAATAATTTGAAGGAAGGGATGAGACCAAATAGGCCGAAGGGACTTCTTCAACCGAACCAATCTTGTGATTGTGTGCACAAGGTCGGGAGGGGAGTTCAAGCATAACAGTTATCAAACAGGACATCTCCAGGAGCAGCACGTCTCATTGCACATCACGTTTTTCACCCCATTTACACAACATTGGGTGGAGTCCAAGGCAGTGGCTTACACTTACTGTGAGCAACCACCAGGACTTAGCCACGACACAGTCACAAAGCAAAGTTTAGAAATGTCCCCATGGCTCAGTTGAGAAAAGAACTTACGTGTTTTATAGTTCTTTATCATGTAAAACGTGACTGGCAACTGGTAACTATTACCACTGACTCTTAAGTCTTTTACAGTATTGAGAAACTAATTAGAACACTTTTTACTCTGCATTACCGTGGTTTGAAAATATACAAAGCTTCATCAACATGTCGAGACATGCAGAGGCAGGTTATTAATCAGAGAGTGTGGCATGGGAATGTAGGAGAACAAACCAGTGACCGTCAGCAAATTCACAAAGGAATTCTATAACTTCTTGACAAACATTTCGATTGAAGTGATATATTTCAACTTGAGCTATTCCTTAAATATTCCTATTGGTGCTGATGTTAATTAAGCTCCTTTAAGGAATTCCACTAATTGTATCCTGTAAGCGTAATGTAAAATTGGACCACAATGAGACAGGACAGTTGGACCACAATTGTTTTTCCTGGTTCTTTACATTCCTATGCTGCTATGTAACCTCATTACAGCTGTTATGGGCTGGACGGTTCAGAGAGGTACGTTACCAGATGGATACGCAGACTTCACCATCTTCCGCGCAGATAGAGGTCTTGTCGCACTTGCTTTTGCACGTGCCACTGTTGCTGCAATTAGTAGGCATGACGTCGCAGAACATGCACAGCTTGTGTAAGATGAATGGCGATCTGTCCCCTATTGAACGGAAGAGGGTAGGAAGGTTTAATGTTTGGGGTAAACATTCCACATGGGCCTACATTTACTCTGCTCTCTGAGCATTTCAGACGTGTCCAGTTTTTGGCACAGCTCTTAAATATAGCCTTCGTTTTGAAACGTGCGAGAAAATTAATTAACTAAAGTTATGTCGAGAACTATAAAACAAAGCTTCAATATTATGACTGAATTTCGCAAATTAGTAAATTCTGGCCGCTCTAAAATGTTAACAGAGTAAACCTAGCACCAGGTGGAATTTCTCCTCTTTATATGCAAACAACAACAACAAATTACATTTGTATAGCACCTTTCATGAGGGAGGACATCAAGGATTTGGACCCAAGTTGGGGGTGGGGATTAGGAAGGGTGGAGGGCAGAGGTAGAGGTAGGAGGGTGACTGAAGGTCGATCGAAGAGGAGGGTCTTGAGTCATTAAACAAATGCATGATTCGTAAACCTAAAGATTCTGCAACTTCCAGCTCGGGGACTGAAATTGTGGGATGTGTTTGCCAAATCTACTTATAAGATCAGGAAAACAAATCGGGAAAAAAAAGAATCCCAAAGGCCAGCTGAAACATTTTGTGGCTGGCGTTTTCCATTCCCTTCATTTTTGGGGGCCTTTCCCTAGCTCAAATGTAACACATTGTCCACAATCGCAACAGCAATTTTTGCTTTAGGTATAGTGTACCTTATTTCCGGACCCCAGTGTCCCTCCTGCCCACTGACAGTACAATACACTGGCTACACCATTCAACACCTCACCAACCAATGCTCTGGACAGTCAGTCTGCTGACAAATAAATGCATGCCTCTGTTTGACTACGAAACAGTCACTACACTTGACAGCGATTACTTGTGATGCACTTCGACATGTTTCACCGTGACAAAATACTTCAACAATAACAATTTGCATTTATATAACGGCCTTCACGTAGGGCAACGTCTCAGAGCGCTTAACAGTGGCGGAACCTGAGCTTGCGTACAATAGTGCAAGCTCTTCCGCCTCTTTTCATTATCGTCTCGTTATACTCAGTCTATCCGAGGCCGTTCTGTTTAGAAGTAAAAGTTTTAAAATAAACTCGGTTCAACTTTAATAGCTTTAAAAAAAAACAGGAATCTTTAAGCTGTTATGCGGAGATAATATGGACTCAAACCACTTTGTTCCCTCAGCACCAAAGGTCAAAGAAACACAGTTTGCAGAGATAACCTTGTGTCACTGCGGGACAGCATCTCACATGACTTATGGACTCTCAGCTCCCCTGAGATGTAGAAGCAAGGTTAAAAAATACTGCAGGCCCTCGGTGCAGGTAAGCATATTATGGTTGTTCAGTGGGATTTTACACTAGGACCCAGTGCTGATGGATAAAGGGTAGAAAGTCTCCCACTCCCCAGGTTGGAGAGAAAACGTGGGCATTAATCTCGCCACACCCCAGCCACCAGCTGCTTGTGCAGTTGTTGATTTTAATAAAAAGAAAAATTGATTAAATATTAGTTTCCGAGTGCATCAACAAGGGACGAATTACTGAGTCCAACAGTATGAGTAAACCACATTAGAAATCAGCAGAGGAGCAGCTGTTAAACCAGGGAGCGTGCTACACATACATAGACGTCCAACTCCCCGCCCCCTCGGCTCCCAGTAAAAAACAGCTGAATGATTCCCTCCTCTCTTGCAATAAGCAAAGTTCCATCAGCCATGTGTGAACCTAGGTGTTTCAGATCAATCGCGACTCTGTCATTAAAAGTGAAACCCACAAGACATTATTTTGGCTATATTGGGGCTTGACTCATTCTTTTATTGATTTTTGGGAACGAGGGTGGAGAACTGCTCCGCAGGGCCGAAATTCCAACTGGGTCTAGATGTGCTCCAATTATGTAGCATTTCAGCGAGCACCGGCCTGCTTCATGTCCCCATCGTATCTGCCTCACCATTGGCAGGTGGACTTTCAGTCATTCTGCCCCCGCTCTTTGGAACTCCATCCCAGCGTCTCTCTGTCTCCCTCCCTCAGCTCATTCAACGTCTGTCTCAAGACCTACCTCTTTGACTGTGCTTTTGGTCACCTTTCCCCTTCCAACCCTCGGCTCCCATCCCCAGCCAGCAGTGTCCTCCCAGAGTACAGGTCTCCACAGCACACTGGGTAATCCAATAACTTCTCCAGCGAGGGGGTTTATTAATATTTGACCTTGTGCTCCTAGCTGGACAAGTTGCACAAATACTATTACCCATTGCCCCAAATGAGCCTATGCTCTTCATTATTCCTCTTGCTACATCCGGGGGGAGTTAACAGCCCATAAATGTTGGATGACAGCCAAGAACGTGATTTTCCTATTGGTAAGCTGCATGCTTTCAGTTAGTCACATTCCAACAGTAATAATAATAATAATAATCCTTGCATTTGTTATAGCGCTTTTCACGTCGGGAGGACGTCCCAAAGCGCTTCACAGAATATACTGTAAAGTGAATTGACTGTATATTTGTGGGCGAACGCGGCAGCCAATTGCGCACAGCAATGTCCCACAAACAGTCGTGGATTGAAAATGACCAATTTATTATTGTTTTTGTTTTTTGGAGGGATTATTATTAGGCTCTGTGTGGAGGAAGGAAACTTGCCCAAGGTTTCGCCCTCTGCCTGGAATTGAACTCAGGTCTCTCACTTGCAAAGCGAGTGCTCTAACCACTGAGCTACAGGACTCCACAAAGTACCCCATCGTACACTTTGGGATTACTAATGTCTTGGCCTTTGTCAACCTACAGCTGTGTAGACAAGTGGGTGTTTCATGTGGTTCCCCCTCAGTGCATCCCCCAAGAGGGAGGAAGTGCACGCTCTAGGGCTAGCAAAGGAAATGCTGCGTTGGTGGGTTTAACCTATTGTCCGGAACTGGAGACTCTTAATAATATTGATAATAATAACCCTTGCATTTGATATAGCACCCTATCACATCGTCGAAACATTTCAAAGCACTTCATAGGATTTACCCTAAAGTGTAGCGACTGTGTATTTCTGGACGCACGTCAATTGCCTGAATGATCAAAAACAGTGCTGTTGCAGATGTGTGAGTTCTGTATTATAAATGGTACTGTACTGAGGATACACAGCTGGCAAACATGGGGTGCAGAACGATTCAGTGATGGAGCCTGGTCATAGGCAACGTTTGCGTCAGTTTAGTGATCATTTCCTGGGTGTTTCCGATTGATATGAAGCTGCTTTCAACAAAACTAAAATTACAGGCCGACCCCATTATATAACATGGTGGTTTGAGTCCATAAACTCAAACTGTTCCCTCGTTATAATAAGCCCATCTTTTAATTCCAAACAGGCTCTATTAGGTTTCAAAGGTTGCTTCGTTTTCCTCTCCCCATTTAAGCTGATAGCCTTATCATACATCTGTTTCCCAGCCAGGAGGCGAGAATGTAACCAACCTCGATGTTGGAATTGTGAGTGATGGTTGTCAGATACTGAGTTAAGCTGGTTGGTGACTAAAGAGCATCTTTTTAAGACACTTAGCAAACAAACAGATGGGGAAATTAGAATTTCTTTCACGCACAAAGCAGTTAGGATATGAAAAGCCCTCCCGGGCTTCAAAAGGGACCTAGATACATATCTATGAAGGAAAAATCTGCAGGATATCAGGGAAAGAACAGGTAAATGGGACTGAAAGGATTATTCTTTAAAAGAGCCAGCACTGACGTAATGGGCAGAATGGCCTTCTTCTGTGCCGTTAAAAAATTCTAAGTGAGTATCCAGATACCCGGTGCTCCAATGCCATGACCCACAGAATGAAAGTTCAACGGTTGCCTTGGGCAAGCTTCACACCCAGCCACTATCACGCATAACCTGGGGCCCGTTTTTGTTATCCACTGGCCCCTCTGACCTCATTTAGCAGCAACGTGAGAACTACCTTCGGTGACGATTGACACATCAGAGAGAGTACAGTTTTCACACTGTAGCACGCCAGGCATTGTGCAGCGTCTCCTCCAAAAAAGGTAGCGCTGTGGCTCCCGAAGGCGAGAAGATTACAGGGAGAACACGTCAATGGAACACACCAGTTCTTGTGCTGGTGGAGTAGGAAGAGGGCAGGAGAGGGGAATGGTGAAACAGGGAAGGAAGCAGGCCACGAATGAACAGTACAAAATACGCCATGGGAAATATGAATCGCTTAATTTATATTTTTCATTTACTTTTTGCTTCATTATGTTTGTAAGGGGGAGTGGGAGGGGGGAGGGCTGATAGGGGTCAGAACCTTCCCTTGAGATCAAATGGGGTGGGGCAAAAATCCATAATAAGTTTTTTTTGGTGCACTGTGGCGAGCAGATTTAATGTATTAATTTTTTTATGTACTTAAGGGCAACTGTCATTGTTGTCCCTGTTCATTCACACAAATGTTAGCCTTGAAATTCCACTTTTCCTTTAAGATCACTTTGCCTTGAAGTATAAAATCATGCCAAATTGTGGAAATTTCTTAGGCTCAACTTTAAAAATTACCCCAAAAGTTTAAAAAGTTGCAAAAACATATCCTGTTCACCTACAAAAATACACAGTAGTTACTATACTTTACTACGAATCTAACAAAGCCCTTTGAGACATCTTCCTGACGTCAAAGGCGCTATATCAAATGCAAGAATGGTGTATTTATTATTTATTTAATTTGGAAGCTGGTTTTCCGTAGCTCTCAAAAAGGAGCAGCTTCCAATTTAAGAGTGAATACAAGAATTTTCCACAGTTCTGTACAATCTTGCCTTTCAAGATAAAATGTTTTAAAGGCAAAGACCTAGTGGAATTTGGGGCCTATATTTCAGCCCGCAAGCTAAACAAGTACTGGAACGTTGTTATTTATATAGATTACTAGCCAGGGAACTACATGCAATTTTAGTTTAGAGAAACGTATACTGTATGTAAAAAAGGCCAAGTGTGAGCCACAAACTGATTTGAATACACTTAGCCGCTCTTATGGTGGGTGTGGGTGTAAAGGTTGCAGCCTCTCGCTT